GTACCTTAAATCCGATTGATTATACTACAGGTAAAAGCATGAGGCGCTTTCCTTGGTAAGATTATTAAGCCACTAGAAGACTAATATACTTCTATTTTTGATACCACATTTCACCAGCAGGTGAGGGTGCAGGTAAAATCTGATATTGCAACTCCCGGTCCCATGAAGGCAGAAAGGCTTCTGCAGAAGAAATCCCCTAAGTGTTGCATGAAGAGGTCAGACATTGATGGGGGATTACCATTTACACTGGAAGTCCTCTAACTAAACTAGTAAATGCTACTGTGAAATGAATACAGCATATTTCAATGTCACAAACTGTAATACTTTTTTTTCTCTCCAACAGATGGAGAATTAAGTATTAACCCCACTGTTTTTACTAAAGTTAAGCTTCAAATGACAGAAATATATATTGTTCATTATACAAAGCCAAGTGTATTGTAATGCAAGTAAGGCATGCCAAAACCAGAAATGACTGTTTTCCCTATGGAGTTGTGCATATGTAGATAATCTTAAAAGAAAAATAGCATAATGAGGAAGATGAAATATGTCATACACCTCCTATCTTCAGTTATGTTTGGCTTATCAGTTGTTCAGAATAGGGCTATACATTGCTATAATCACAAATAGCTTATGTATACACACTGCTCAAACATCCAGGGGTAAAATATGAGCAGTGTACACAGAAGGATGATCTTAAAAGAAACACGAATGCAAAAGGAATATTTATTAATGTAGCTATGTTTAAAGAAGAACAGTTTCGGACCATTAAAATTACAAAGATGCAAGTATAAACAGATTCTGCAAGGGCAAATTAAAGCACATCTCAAGTCAAACAGATACATTGGGGGTGATTTACTAACCTAAACACAGGCACGCACCAGGTGCATGTGATTTTCACACAGCAAAACGTATTTATCAACCAAAAAGTCTCTAAAAGCATATTTCCACTAATGCCATATATGGAAAAAGCATGCACATGATGCATATATAATGCTGCTTCACAGTTTAGACAAAAATGGTTAGCTCATGCATTTACATTCCTGCATTCATCAACACAAGCAACACAACATAGAGCTAATTTACACAACATCACCTTGCAATTCATGCAAGGGTTTGCACAACACACCTGCTGGGTGTGTACACACTACAAAGGTGTTTAGATTCCACCCATATATGATGCTGGGAGGGAACACACTACAGATGTGTATACATGTTCGTGGTGTGTTTCTAAGGTTAGTAAATCAACCCCATAATGTTCATATCATTATACTCCTGCCATTCCGAATAGCTTGGGTGAGGCTTTGTTTACTGGTAAGCAAAGTTTTCTTTAAACATAACTGTTTATATTTAACAAACTATTTAAAAGGAGAATTATGGGGAGATAGAAATACACTCTTCCCCATAATCAGAGCCGACATGTAAAACTGAAGCAAATACCGCTGATTGCACAGTTCCCAATCATCTCCCTGCAGAGAGTGGTGATTGTCAGTCACGGCTCCCCGCAGAGATTCTCCCCTCTCCATTCTTCCAGCGCAGACTGGAGGGACAGATAAGGGAGGGAGCAGGCACAGCTGGCTCTGCCTCTATCAGGTGGTGGGATGGAGCTGCGCTTTTAGCATATAGTGGGCAATAGCTCGCTATATTCTGAGTTTTGGGTTACAGGTGGACATTAGTATACTGTGTCTCGTGTGACTCTAAAGAGAACTAAGGCAAAAAAAGCTTGGGCCATTGTTCTCTTTTAACGTTTGTCTTGTCCCTTCACAGATTGATGTAGTACTGCTTTGGAACATCAATGTGACACCATTTTATTTAGAAAAATGGCTACCTAGGTGATACCATGCCATGATCACTGGTCTAGTTCAGTAGTTTTCTTATGTTTGCAGTTCTTTAGAAATCACCTCATGGTTTTTTGGTTTTAGCCATCTGAAAGCTGCATGATATTCCCTTGCACTGATCTTTGTAGGATGCCTAAAACTAGGGGAATTAGCAATGTTAGAGAATTCAATTTACATGTAAACTATCTGCAAAACTACAGACTAATAGAGAACCAAGACTTTAGAAATCATTTTTAATCATTTCAAGACTTATGAGCTTCAATAACTTGATGTACTGTAAATTACTTTCAGTTTAGCGATGTTGATGCTTTTATACAGTATTGTAGCAGTAAGCAGGTAATCAGAATTGTGATTTTTGTTTAGCATGTAAAGGCAGGTAAAACCCATACCCTAATACATTAAAACACAAAAATGATTGGTTGGAAAACCTAGCCCCAATTACTCTCCTTCAAGATATTATTATCTCTAGTTTCATGATGCTTGCATTAATCTTCATTGTTTAAACTAATTTGTTCAAAAAAAGATAATGTAGATATTGAATTATATTTCCTAACTAGCTATAGTTATTTAAGTAACAATCTGATCACATGAACAAAAAAAAAGAGAGAGAACATGAACTTCTTTATGTGAATGCATGTAGGAAATATTTTACTCGCTAAAGGATTTTTAAAATAATGCATATATTGATTAATTGTCCATGTCCTGCTGTGTTATATGTTATAGAAGGAAGAGCAAAATACTTTTCAGTTTGCAGTGTAGCAGACACTGCAACTCCTCCATGCTCTGCCTGCTAGGCAGGCCAATATCGAACACCTGCACACTAATTGCACTCATTAGCTCTCTGTGTAAAGGTGCCCATACACTGCTCGATTCTCGTACGAGAATCGGGCGAAATCCCGCGATCGTACGAGAATCGAGCAGTGTGAACTAAGACGTGCGACCGTTTCTACTGTACGGTCGCACGTCTTTTGTCGAGCCAACATGTTCGAAAACCCGCCGAGAATCGTACGATTCTCGGCGGGTTTCTAGCCTGCTCGCCCGATAGCTGCGGAACGGGCCGGTGTGCGCACGCGCACACTGCCCGTTCTGCATTGCCGTCATCGGAAGCCCGCCCCTCAGCGGGGCGGGCTTTCGATGATCGCAAGTACGATCTGCCCATCCAAGGTGGGCAGATCGTACGGGCTTTCAGGAAGCATACGACCATCGCAAGACAATGGTCGTAAGGTGTATGGGCACCTTTAGATGGCATAAGTGCCTCCCTCTATCGCACACCAACTTGTAGTCTTGGAACTTCCACAACAAGTCTACATTTTAACTTTTAAATGCTGTGTGGTAGCACAATATAAATACAGATTTCAGGTAATTATACCTGCTGTAAAAATATACTGTATGTAAAGAAATATACTGTATGCATAAGTGAGCTAAAGGAGAGCCAAAATGTCTTAATATGTATATCCCTGGACTTGTTTTTATATTTTGCTGCTCAGCTGTTAGTCAGTGTGCAAAGTACATGTTTGCTGGGACATTTTATTGCTGTACATGCAAACAATCCCATTTATAACTACTTCTCTCAATGCCCCAGAGCACTGCTAACTTAACATTTGTGAACTTCCACAGCAAGTCTTTATTCAACTTTTAACTGGTGTGTGGCAGCACAATATATATCCAGATTTTAGGACTTTTGATTATCTTTAAGACTACAATGAAGACCTGTTTTCTATACCACAATAATTAAACTGACATAAATCCATGGCCCACAAATTTGTAAAGCACATTATGGTTGATGCAGGCATTTTGAGGGATAAATCCAAATTTGAAATTCAAAATCAATAACATCATCACTGTAGCACCATATCATTGTGTTTGCACTCAAATTTGATTTGGGCACTGAGCAACTCATGACAGATTGAGCACAATATATTCAGCTATTATGGTTACTTACATTGTCTCTTAAAACAAAACTTATTATTTTTTGCTTTGGATAGGAAAATGTTAGAACCTTTGTTTGGTTTTCACTGATGTGTGTGGGCCCACTGGGGAGATTCACCAGATTTATTTGTCTTGGAGACAATTGTTACTAGAACAGAAAAAGATACGAAGTGCATACTTTTATAGTTGTCACTAAAGCAGAAATGGAAAGGAAATCTTCCAGTGTGGACACCTTTCCCGTGACAACTCTCCTCATTTGGGAAAGATCTACTTTTACTTTCTTTTGTATCTCTGGGACAGAAATAAAAGAAAATATTCCCAATGGGACACAGAACGCATTAAAAAACTCATTAAGGATTCAAACCATGCCTTCTGGTCCAGGTAGGGTGGATTGACCCTCAACTCACATAGGAGGTTGTTGCAAATAGACTACTAATTTATTGTATATGATTTCTCAAGAAAAAATGTCAGGAAATTAAGTTTCTACTTTTTTTCAAGAGACAGTAGAACAAGTAATGCTAAGTAGATAAAAAGTCTACATAATGACCAATTGTGGCAAAAAACTCCACTTTCTATATTTTGTTATGGTCTCTTTAAAAAAACAAAAAACACCAATAAAGTTTGTAGGGAACTACTCTCAATGTAGAGGCAAACTCGCAGTCTCTTCAACAAAAATGCCAGCTTTAATTCCAGACAGCAATCAATTGACAAAAAAAAGAAAGGTTACAGGCATCCAGCCCAAAAATTTAAATTGTCATAAACAAATAAAAGTCTGCTCCACTGAGCCTTACTGGGTATTAGCGATAGTCCTCTAAGCTGGGTCCGTTTCCTCTATGGGAACAGTTACAGTCCATCCACAGAACCCTGTCCTGCTGACAGGCTTGGCTCCAAACACAGAACTGTGCAGTCTTCACTAAACTGCGGTCCATGGAACCAGGAGTCTGTCCCACCCACAGCTCTATCAGACTCCTAGTAACACCAGCCCCGGGATTTGTTTTACCAATACAAGGTAAAGAGCTATTTTTCTTTACCTTCATCTATGCTGGCATTACCTTAGATGATGAATCTAAGGATCCGTGGAGAAATGTATCTACCATCTATCACTTTTCCTGCCAACCTGGCAGGCTTTACTGGCACCATGTTACAAGTTACATTCAAAACTGATAAGAGAAACATGAAGTATCCTACACTTACCACTACCAATTACGCAGTCTCGTTTAACACAAATGTTATTACCTTTTGAGCATCACTCTTATTTCTCGACCTCAGTCTCTCCATTTCAGTTTCCATATTCACAGTCTGCCTTCTCATTTCTTCTACTTGGTTTTGCTCATCTTGCTGTCGGTGTTGCCCTTGGTTCAGCTCTTCCCGTAAACCTTTCACAAGTTCTTCATAGTTCTGAGCCTAGGGGAAGATCAAATGTTATCCACAGCTTCTTATCTTGAGGTGTTTATTAAAAGTCTGTTAAAAACAGGATGTGGATAATAGCTTAGGTTGCTAGTGATGAAAGGTTTGTTTGACTGTAGTGTTGTATGACTAGGGTAGGTGGAAACAAAAATAATTATAACTTTGAGTGTACCTTTCACCTGTGTAGGACAACATACCTCAATTAAGACCATGCAATTCTTCCACAACTTTAATACAATATAACTAACTTTGTAAATCTCAGCACATATTTAACATCTTCTGATAGGATGTAATATTTATGCTTTTTATTGAGACAACAAAAAGCCCATGAACAGCTATAGAACATGCTCATCCTGGACAAATTCCATGGCACAGGAGCACATCCCAATGCACCATTCTAGATTGACCCCCTCAATTTATCTTGCTAACTTCTGCAACATGCAACTTCCCAGCATGCAGCATGTTTCATAATCTGACCCCAATTGTAAGAGATGCATGAATTTTCACTATCATTAATGAATAATTATTGATTTTTTAATAATTTGTTTGACCCCATACAATGGCTGGCATGAAAGTATCATACAAGTCAGAAGTTATAATACCACAACTTACTGTACTATTTTTCTTTTCTCTCTTTTATTTTGGCATATGTCTTTATGTTCTTAAATAGGTCTCTACCTCTCTGCAAGTCTGCATGTTTCTCTAAGCCTAAAAATGGAGCAGGTATCAGAGTGTAGGTTTGGAAAAAAAAGCCACTAGTTATTCTCCTATTAAAAACAAGTAAGTGCATTTAGTTTACTTGAGTATATTATGAATAGTTTTGGAGATTGAATTTGTGCCTGACTACCGTTCCATTTTAAACACTGCAATTTCAGCACTTCAGAAATGATCAACAGATTGTTTAACCAGTTGACATCCGCGGTGTTAAACCCCCTTCCCATCCAGGCCATTTTTCAGTATTCAGCGCTGCGGTACTTTGACTGACATTTATTCCGTCATGCAGCGCTGTACTGAAATGAATTTTATACCCTTTTTTGGGGACAGATAGAGCTTTCTTTTGGTGGTATTTATTCACCACTGGGGTTTTTATTTTTTTACTATATTAAGGAAAAATTACCTATTTTTTTTAAAAAAAAACAGTTTCCCCTATATTAAATGATAAAACATTTATTATTACCCAATTTTTTGGTAAAATATAAAAGACGGGGTCACGTCGGGTAAAAAGACACCAAACATGTCAAGCCTTAAAATTGCGTGCGCGCGCGAAACCTCAAAAAACGGTAATACCCAAAATTGGCCATAGGCGACGCTTTAAAAGCTGTTACCGCTCATCAGTTTAGTGTTATCTATGATTGATGGCCCTAAAATGATTGCTCTAACTTAGGGGGCGCGCGCGAGCAGAAAATAATTGCCGTCTGGAGACGGCAACCCGCAAATGCAGCAGTGCCGTCCGTCCGTCCGTTTTTTTTACTACGGGCGGACGGCAAGAGGTTAATTGGCCACTGAAAAACCTTTGCAACCCCTGACATTACTTATAAAGGATACAGTACATTTGGCTATAAGTTTATTTAGCACGTAAAATTTTACTCAGGGAGATGCAATAAGTAATTAAAATATTTAAGTGTGGTAGACTGGGAAGATGATGGAGTAGAGCTACTGCTCCTTTTTATCAAAGAGGCACCTCAAGGCAAAGTGGTTTTGGTATCTTATAAATTCTGTCCAATTGGAAGTATGGGTATGTCTTTAATTACTCAGGAAAAGGTGGAATCTGAGGCTGGGCAAAGGGAAGTCTGCAATGGTCTACTCAGTCAGCTTCCATGTAGCCCCTACAAGACTAACAGCCACAAAATATATATAATTTAGACTGCTCAATTTTTAATGGCTGGTCTTTTATAAGTGTATGGCAGACATCTCTAATAAAGAAACATCCCCTGTGCTACACTGCTTTATGAAAGACTTTAAAAAATTGTGTTGGGCATTATATTTTGTTTATGCACATTGATCCCAGTTATAAATGGTACATTACCTTACGTTCCTGTCCATAACACTACATTAGCATGGCAAACCATGGCATACATAGTAAATGTTATGTGAGATTTATTGGAAGAGCAGCTGCCCGGAAATGGCGCTTAGATGCAGCACAGCTCTATGCCTGTGTAGTTATAGGGAAATTATACCTAATTGCATCACCTATAAGTGAAGTATACTTCTAATTATCCTCTTCCTACAGCTGTATGAAAATCAATAACCATAAGCCTTCCAATGAAACACACACTGCACGCTTCCCCAGGTTCCTAATGAATGCAAATAGTTTGACCTTTCCTTGACAAGCTTGAATATTGTTTCATACTTTTGCCATTAAAATTGCTGCTATCAGCAATTCACATTACCAACAGAAAAAAAGAAAGCTGAAAAGAAAGAAAGAGAGAGAGCGAGAGAGAGAGAGAGAGAGAGAGAGAGAGAGAAAAGAAGAAAGGGAAGAACAGAAAAAGAAGAGAGACAGAACTAAAAATAAACATTATTTCATATAAGAAAACTTGACAGTATCAAGAGGAAATCAAAATTGTACAAAACAAGTGGCTGAACTTTCAGCATCTGAAAGCATATATTTAGATGACAAACGTCTCAGTTGCATAATGAATTTCTTTTATTCACGTAGCTTTTTTGTCTGAAGAGCCTCTCAAATCATCACGCAGATGTGGCTCTGCATAATTTTTATATAAATATTAGAGAAACACTTTGGTAATTGGTTTCCATCGAAATTCATACCCATTTTTTCTTGAGAGCAGCATTCTTTAAAAACAAAGGTTAATTGAAGTTTGGCTTATGTAAAAGCCTCAGCAGGTGTTATATGCCACTTTTGTTAGGAGATAAATCGGTTGATGATGTGGCATCAATTTCTACCCATGGGAAGTAGAACCACCATTTTAGCCCCTATCTTTTTAAAAGAGAACAGTTCTGATGCTACAAAAGACAGTTCAAGTTCTCCCATTTCCAGTTATGTTAATTTCATAGCATGTGTGTAGGGCTGCAACAACTAATCGACATAATTGATTATAATCGATTATTGAAAAAGTTGTCAACTTTTTCAATAATCGATTAATCGGCTTCCGATCAGTTGGCCCTGTTTACGGCTCCACACGCGCTGCGCGCCGCACTTCCTCCCCACCTCATGCTCGCCGCTGCCAGACCCGCCCGCCCACATCCACGATCTTCACGCCGTACCTCCTCCGCGCCTCACTCTCGCCGCCCGCCCACATCCACGATCGGCACAGGGAAGCGGGGAGATGTAGTAAGGAGGAGCAGGTGTGGGGGGATGACAGCTGCCGATAGACAGGTCCGATCTCAGAAGCAAGTTGCTGGAAGACTGCTCAGGTAAGCCTGCACTTTCCCCCCACATGGTGCTCTATAATATATTGCTGGGATAGTGGGATTTGTAGTCCTCTATAGCTGATGGTACATTGTGCTGTATATTATACAGAGCAATGTACCATCAGCTATAGAGGAATACAAATCCCAGCAATACATGGGATTTGTTGTATTCCTAAATAGCTGGTGATATTCTGCACTGCGCTGTATAGAGGACAACAAATCCCAGCAATAATACATTATACAGCGCCATGCGGAATACCGCCAGCTATAATATACTATTGCTGGGATTTGTTGTATTCCTCTATAGCTGGTGATATTCTGCATTGCGCTGTATAATGTACTATTGCTGGGATTTGTAGTCCTCTATAGCCGGTGCCATTCTGCATTCATTGCTGTATAATTTTACACTTTCCATTTCACTATATTGCACACCACACTATTTTTTTTCTTTTTTACTTCCACCGCTCCAAGCTTGCTCCTGTGATGGACTACAACCTCAATACAAACTAGTAGTCCCATCACTGGAGCCATTTTTTAAACTTTATTTTATTGTTTATCCGATTAACCGATTAATCGAACTTAATAATCGGCTAACTAATCGATTTTGAAAATAATCGTTAGCTGCAGCTCTACATGTGTGTACATTCTTTCACTTGTTTCTGTAGGTGGATCAAGTTGTCATTGTTCTACAAGCTTTTTTTAACCTGAAATGCCTAATGACATTTATATTTATAGTGAGTATTTATATAATACCGATACCAGGTGTTGTACGTATATACCAAATTGTACATGATTGTAAATTGTAACAGTAGCTTTTTTTAATATATTAAAGGTAATTTGTGCTTTAGACTTAATAGACTTCATATAAAATGTGCTGTATTTTAGTACAATGGAAACGATAAAATAAAATACAAAAAATGAAGGAGACACCTTTTCCTTAATAAAGTTAAAAGTCATGATTTCTTCTACCAATGTTATACATCCATGAATCAAATCATATGACTTCCATTCCTTACCTTGAAAATGACAGGTCCACATAACAGCTGTACAAATCTATGACTGCTGAAAGTTAGCAAACACAACCATAAATATCATAACAGGGAAGATGCTGGCTGCCAACCAGGCAAGTACTTAAACTGAACCTATTATATAACAATGCCCTCACCATTCTGACTGTCCTGCCAAATCAAATTAACATTTGGCAACATTGCTTCCTTACTTTCCTAAATAAAAGTGTTGAGTGAATTAGACTGGTTTGTGGCTCTGACTGATTTTCCACTTTCTCTGAGATCACATGACCAACACCTCAGCATTTAATTGTATGACATTTGAGAAAGTCACTAACAGGTAAGGCACAGAACCCATACGAGGTAAAGTCTATGGAATTTAAAAATGAAAACATTTTGTTGAGGGGAGAATAAAACTGTTGCAACAACAGCAGTATAAATATAGAATACATTAATAAATAGAACAATTGGAATAAAGAAAGGAGAAAGGTTGGGATAACAAGTTTCTGTTACTTAAAGTGACACTAAACTCATAAGTTAAATCTTAAAATGCATTCAAGTACCTCGTATTAACAACAATGTATCTTATTTGTGTATCACTCAGCTGTAGATCCTCAA